ACCCACCTGGGCATGCCAGTCATCTGGCCCACCCCAAAATCAGCATCCTACAGAAAGGAGATCTAGCAGGAAGGGCAGGGATGTGTGACTGTGGATCCATCTCCATTGTCTCCATCAGTTTAGTTGGAGCTCTGAAGTTGTAGATTGAACTTAGCAGAATGGAAGCCACACAGAGAACCAGACATCTCCTCCATAGTGGACAGTTTAGAGACCAGCTATGGGATGGTGGCAATGCAGGAGATCTCTGTTCTCTGAGACTCTCTCACATGGGGAGGATTGAGTAGGGACCTATGACCCCTGCACCATAAAGCTTGGTCCTCACCTCTGAGCTTTGCAGATAAATAGTCTCCCCATGTGCAGAGAGAACAGCTTGGCTTAGCTAACCATCTCCCTGTCCTCCTGCCCCTCCAGCACCCCAGTATACCTCACCTTCTCCTCTGAGCAGCAGCTCACATGTTGCCACTTCTCTCCTCAGTCCTCTTGGTCATATGGCCTGAGTCAAGAGCTGCTTCCCTCATCCATGCAGCCCCACAGCAGCCCACACAGGTGGGAGTCACCCCACCGTGTGATGCCTGAACAGGTCGGGTACTTGGGGTGTCCACAGGGCCAGGGAAGGTCCCAGTCCCAGGTGGATGTGTCTGTGCCAGGGAGGAAGACAGACTGAGCCAAGCATGCTACGCATCAAGGCAAAGGAGGATCTGGAGGATGTCTGGGACCAGCCTTCATCCAGGGCTGCAAGGGTGTGGTTGGAAGGCCAGAGACAGGCAGAGAAAGGAGTTGCTTTTCAAAGGTAAATGAGTGTCCACAGTCATGCCTAGGAGACTTGGAGGATCAGTTAAAGTGTACTTCTGCTCCCCTCGCTCAGCACAAAGGAGTTAGCAGATAAAAAGCTCGAAGCAACTCCTCAATGCAGAGCCCAGGTGGTGGGAGTGGAGGCTGGACATCCATGGCTACCAAGATGCATGGTGGTTGAGGGCACCCTCCTGCCCTGCAGCCTCCAAGGTGGCCATCTCCTCCCCATCTACTGCCCCCTTTCAACTGTTGTGCTTCTTCAAGAATCCCAGCCCCTCACTACCCGCTCTGACCTTCAGCTCTTTCCTCTCAGTGTTTTGGGCTAGGATCCCACCTTTTTATTTTAATGCACCTGTTTTTATTGAGATGAAATTCACAGAACACATAATTAACCATTTAAAGAGTAAAGTTCCCAAATCGGGAGATTTACAATGTGTTTCTACCTCTTTTACTAAGTTCCAAAACATTTTCCTCACATACCCCCACATAATACTTCATACCCAGTTTCTCCTAGTTCCTTTCTACTCCACCCTTCTCTATAGGCCATCCCACCCTAGGTTTCTCATAAAGGGGACTCTTACACTATGTAGGCTTGGAGAACTGGCTGCTTTCACCCAGCAGGTTTGTTTATCTAAAAGCATGTGCCCATACTTCATGCCTCTTCATGGCTAAATAGTACTCCATGGTGGGACTGGAACTCAGCTTGTTCATCTGGGGACATGTGCCTCATTTTTGCTCTTCAACTGGGATGCACAGAGCACTGTGAACAGGTATGTACAAGCACCTATAGGTACATGCAGGTATGTACACATATATGCAGGTGTGGACAGGTGTGTACAAGTGCCTATAAATGTGTGCAGTGCATTGCAAGTGAATGCACATATGTGGGAGTGTATACAGGTATATGTAAATGCCTGTGGTTACTGCAAGTGTATACAGGTACATTCTGGTGCATGTTTGTGCAGGTACATAAAGGCATTGCATGTGTGTACATGTACCTACCTATAGCTGTGTTTAAGTGCCTATATGTGTGTGCAGATTCATACAGATATGTGCAGGTTTATATATGTGTTTACAAGTTCATAATGGCATTATAGGTATGTACAGGTACCTATATGTATATACAAGAACATACAGGTGTGTGCAAGTGCATGCAGGTGTGTACAATGTGTACATGTGTATACAGGTGCATAAAGGCATTGCAGGTATATACAGGTACATATAAGTATACAAGAACATATATGTATATTCAGTGGCTTACAAATGTATATGAGCGCAAACAGATAGCTACAGGTGTGTGCAAGAGCATACAAGTGTATACAGATGTGTATACTGTGTAGGTGTATACAATGCATGCAGGTGTGTTCCAGTGTGTACACATGTTCAGGTACATACAAACATGTACAAGTGCATATGAATGTGTGCAGGTTTGTGCAGATATATACACATGTGTGCAAGTACATACAGGTGTTCACAAGTACATACAGGTTTGTGTCAGTGTGGACACATGATCACAGATGCGCACAGTCATGTACAACTGCATAGAGGTGTGCACAGGTGCATACAGATTTTTGCCAGTATGTACGTGTGTGGGGACATACAGGTGTGTCCAAGTGCATCCAAGTGTGCAGGTGCATACACTGCACTGGTTTGTGCCAGTGTGCACATGTGGACAAGTACATACAGGCATGTGCAGGCCTGTATGCATGTACAGTGCATACAGGCCTGTGCAGGTGCATACAGGCATGTGCCTTGGTTCCTCTCCAGCCCTGCTGGATGGAGACTAGAAACACACAGTCTGAGTCCCTATGCCAACTCTACCTTTACTCCTCTGCAGTATTTTCCGGCTGTATTTAGACCACCTGGAGCTCTGCGTGGCTCCTCCTCTGCTCCAGGAAACAAGCTGCCAGCACTCTTGTTTCCTGGCTCTTCCTCAGCCTCTGCATACATTTCTGCAGCTTACCAAGGTCACCATAAATTCTCAGGTTGCCCTCCATGGCTTGGCCACCTGCCAACTCAGTTTCCTCTGTGAACTTAATGAGCACAGGGCCTATTCTCTCATTTAAGTCACTTATGTGGTGTTAAATGCCAGGCCCAGGCTGAGCCCAGCTGGGCCAGCTCACAGCCTGCCTTCTGTTTGCATCCCATGGTCCCCAGAGTCACATAGCTGTATGAAGGCTGATTTCCTGCAACAGAGCTACAGACATCAAATGTACAACTCTTAGGACCCTCAGGCTTCCTGGCACCATGGTATCCCCTGTGTGTTCTGGCTGGGACAGCCCTGGGTGTCATGGGCAGGGTGGAGGGAGCTGTGCAGGCAGAAGGAGAAAATGCATCACACAGTAGGGTTTCAGGAACAGGCAGAGGGAGAGGTGTGGCTGGGCTCAGGTTAGTGGGTCACAGGAAGTATAAATGTGCAAATGCTAACAGAGCAAGCCAGTGGGGCATGGTGTTCACAGAGGGTATAAAACCTGTGGGCAAAACCCTGGGCTTGGGAAAGGATGCTGAGGGAGCACTAAGGACACCCCAAAGGGCTGCACCAGCAGACTTAGGAAGGGCAAGTATTTGTACAGGGAGTGTCCTCCTCAGACAAGCTCTGCCCTGATGTACGTGTGTGTGTGTGTGTGTGTGTGTGTGTGTGAGAGAGAGAGAGAGAGAGAGAGAGAGTGTGTGTGAGAGTGTGTGAGTGTGTGTGTGTGAGTGAGAGTGTGTGTGTGAGTGTGTGCATGTGTGTGACTGTGTGTGTGACTGTGTGAGGGTGTGTGTGTGTGTGTGCATGTGTGTGTGTGAGTGAGAGTGTATGTGACTGTGTGAGTGTGTGTGTGTGTATGTGTGTGTGTGTGTGTGTGTAGGCCAGAGGTCACCCTTGGGTGCCATTCCTCAGGACATTGTCCATTTGGGTTTTCTGAGATAGGCCTGGGGCTCACTGATTCAACTGTGCTGACTGGCAGCAAGCCCCAGAGATCTCCCTGATTCTATCTCCCCTGCACTGGGATTACTAGTGTGTGCCTCCAAGCCTGACTTTTTGTTAAATTATGTGTATATGTTTGTCTATATGTGAATGTGTGCCCTTGAGTGCAGTACCCACGGGGTGCAGAAGAGGGTGTTGGATCCCCTGGAGCTGGAATTACAGGTTGTTGTGAGCTGCCTTATGTGGGTGCTGGGAACCAAACTCTGGTCTTCTGCAAGAGCAGCAAGTGCTTGTAACCTTGGAGCCATCTCTCCAGCCCCCATGCCTGACTTTTTTATATGGTTTCTGGAGATCAAGCTCAAGTCTTCGTGCTTGTATGGCAGGCACTTTCCCAACTGAGCCATCTCCCAGCCCTCAAGATTCTTCTTGAAAGTCTAGACAAGGCCTGCATACTCTGCCCTCAGAATAGAAACTTCATCCTTTCTGTATGAGGACTGCCAGGGCCAGTGGTGAAGTCTCTATGGTCTATACACTTGGGGAGGAAAAGGTCAGGAGGTACCTTCGGGTCAGCATGTGGTGGAGATGGCTCTAGACCCTAGTGAAGGTCTGGGTCCATAGAATCCTAGCTGGGTCTCTGTGGGCCTCTTCTATGTGTCATATGGGAGGAGGACAGGAGGGTGTGGATGGTCCTTTCCATCACTGCATTAGTTGCTGTGCTGTGATAAAACACTATGATTATAGAAGGAAGAGTTTGTTTGGCTTACAGTTCCAGGGGGAGAAGGGTCCATCATGGCAGGAAGGCATGACAGGAGGCGGCCAAAGCAGAAAGCTGAGCAATCACATCTTCAAGCACACTCAAGAAGTAGAGAAACTGGAAATGGGACAGTGCTAAAGCCCACCCCCAGTGATGTGCTTCCTCCAGCAAGGCCACATCTCCTAAAAGCCACAAAACAGAGCCACCAACTAAGAGCAAAATATTCAAATACAAGGATCCTATCAGAGACACACTCATTCCAACCACCACGATCACCTAGAGTCTCTGAGCCACAGAACAGGAACTTTTGAGACCAAGCTCTTGACTGAGCTTTGAACTAGAACCCTCTAAGGTGCTATATTGGGAATACCAGGAGCCTGGATCTCCAAGGCAAGAAAGGTGCGTGTGCAGGACCCAGAATATCCCAGGTGTAAGATACAGGCAGCTCTGCTCAGCCCATCATACCCAGGCAAATGCACACCAGGTACCAGGCAACCTCAGTCACTGCGGCAAGCCCAGTTCATCTCAGAATCCTTTCCACAGGTTGGTGCCATAGGGGATGAGGAGGAGTGGGTCACCCTCTATGAGGAAGACAACGAACCTGATGCCCAGATGCTGGAGATTCCAAACCTCACGCCATATACCCACTACAGGTGAGAACCACAGATGGTGAGCAGCTATGAGGGGTGGAGGTGGTGGTTGTAGTAGAAAACCAGGTGTCATGTGTACATCAAAATTCTATAAGTAGATGGCTCATCTGATGAAGTGCTTGTTGTATAAGCATGAAGACCTGAGTTTGGATCCCCAGTACCCACTTATAAAACCACTTAAAAATAAGGGGTTCCAGAGCTGGAGAGATGGCTCAGTGGTTAAGAACACTGGCTGCTCTTACAGAGGAGCCGGGTTCAGTTCCCAGCACCACATAGCAGCTAGCTAACAACTGTCTGTAACTCCAGTTCCAGGGGATCCAACTCCCTCTTCTGGTCTCCATGGAATGCACACATATGCTGCATTTACAAACATGCAGGGAAAATACTCATACACATAAGAAATAATAAAAATAAATAATTTTAAAGGGAATCCAGTGCCCTCTTCCGGAGTCCATAGGCACTGCACTCAAGTGCACATACCCACACACAGAACACACATATACACATAATTCATAATTTAAAAAAAAAAGAGCCAGGCATAGTAGCATGCAGTTTCAATCCCTGTGCTGGGGAGACAGAGAAAGGTGGGTCCTTGGGACTGTCTGGGCATGAGTATCTATAGGCAGTTCTACCACTTAGAAGGCTGCAGCACATGCCTATAATCCCAGCACTGGGGCTAACTAGCCAGTCACTCTAGCTGAATTGGTTAGCTCTGGGGTCAATGAGAAACCCTATCTCAAAAAAGTAAAGTGGAGAGTGATCAAGAAAGACATCCACCATGACCTCTGGCTTCTACTTGTGCATACACACACACACACACACACACACACACACACACACACAAACACAACCTGCACACAAAGAATGCGTTACGTAGCAATAATAGTACATCAAAACTTGAAGACGAAAGCAAGATACACCACTGAGAATCATTCTGAGGAGACTGTGTTGGGATGGGTAGGCTGGCCACATGTTTCCATCAAAGTGCAATACAGAAAAACTAACCAGGAAAATGTGTGGCGCTTTTCTTTGCAGAGCTCCCAGGACTCTGAACAATGCAGATGTCTCAGGCGTTCCCTTCTGTTTCTCTTCAAGCAGTTAACATGTCATTTAACCTTTTGCCTCTTGATCCCACAGCTTGCCCAGGCTGTAAATCCTTGGCCTTCATAAAGGGTAACACGATCCCGAGCCGTTAGCGATGCTATAGGTTCCCGTAACATCCACCAAAGAGATGAAATTTCCAGTTACCACCAGATGTTGAGTTTGATAATGTCACTGCTCTGCCAGGATGGGTTCATTTCGTGTGATTCGGGGGAAATGAATGAGTAAGAATGACTAATTCAAAGAGTGAAGGGTGAAATTACATCTTCATGAAGAACAGTTTTGTAGTATAATAACAAAGTTAGACTTTAAAAAAAAAACGCTGATGAGAGAGATGTCTTAAAATCTATTCACTTGAACACTCCTCCTAAGCATACAGTGGATGAATCAAGACACAATACACCGATTTTTTTTTTTTTTTGAGAAAAACCTATAGCTTCAAACGAGCCTCTGAGATTCAAGACTGGACATGTAGAATTACACAAGAGTATAATTATTCCAATGATCAGAAGCTGTGATTAGGAAACCCTGTCCCCATCTCAAGTTCATGTTAATTTAGGGAATCTCTGAAATTAACATGTGCCCTTGCTTAGGGTTTTTATTAAATGTAAATTCAGTTCAAATAATTATATAGAGAGGAGACACAGCCGAGTGTGGTGGTGCAGACCTGGAATCCCAGCTACTCGGAAGGCCAACGCAGGAGGATTCCAAGTTCAAGGTCCTGCCTTGGCTGCAGAGTAAGTCCAAGGTCAGCATCAACAACATAGCAAGACCTTGTCTCAAAATAAAAAGTTAAAAGAGGGCTGGAGGCATGGATCGGAGGTAGAGCACCTGCCTAGACTCCTCCAGTGAGAGACTGGCCATGTGGCTCAGTGGTGGAGCACCTACCTGGAATTCCCAGTGAGGGGCTCATGACATGGTATTCTAATTTGCCTTCAATTGCCATGACAAAATACTCTGACCGATACCTACTTGGGGGAAAGGGTTTATTCAGCTTATATCTCTCAGGTCATAGTTCGTCAGGGATCCCAAGTTAGGAACTCAGGGCAGGAACCTGGAGGTGGGAGCTGAGCACAGGCCATGGAGGAACACTGCTTACTGGCTTGCTTCCCTGGCCCCTGCTCAACCTTTCTTATGCAAAATAGGACCACCTGCCCAGGGGCAGCTCTACCCACAGTGGGCTGGGCCCTCCCACATCACTCAGTAATCAAGAAGATGCCCCACAGACATGGCACAGACAAGTCCAAAGGAGGCAATTCACCAATTGAGGCTCCCTCTACCCAGGTATGTCAAGTTGACACTAAAGCTGTCCAGCACAATTGACCCCTTCTCAACTTAACACACAAACACATCACTATTAAACCATAACCTTTCTGTTTCTTGTCTCCAAGATATGATGTTAACAATATCACAACGTAAGATAGTACAACCTTAAAAGTCCCACAGTCCTTAAAAAAATCCAGACACTTAAAAGTCCATAGTCTCTTTTAAAAGTCTCTTAACTGTGGGCTCCTCTAAAATCCAAAACCAAGTACTGTCTTATTTCAAAAGGAAAGACTTGGGCACACCTAAGCAAAACCTAAATCCAGCAAAGTAGCTCAGGGCTGGACATCTGGGATTCACTCACGATCTTCTGGGCTCCAAACAGTTTTGGCAGCCCCACTTCTCTGACTCTACAGTCCACAGCACACAGCTTGTCTAGCAGACCCAGGCCAGCTCCATTCCACACCTGCTGCTGCCTTTGGTGGTTCATCACGTGGTCCTAGCATTTCCAAAAAGCTGGGGTCTCCACTGAAACTAAGACTGCACCCTCATCAATGGCCTCTTCTGGCCTCCCAAAGTGCAAAGTCTCAGATCCTTTCCATGACCCTTTCAGTCTTGGGGTCTTCACTGCAACTGAGGCTTCACTTTCACCAATGGCCTTTCCTGGCCTTTCAGGGTGCCAAGCCTCAGCTGCTCTCTGTGACCCCTTCACACTCTCAACACCAGAACCATGCAGGAGACTCTCTTACACATTATCAAGTCAGGTTCCAGCTTGAGATGAAGACAAAGGCCCCCTCTGGACCATAGCTTCTGTGCACTGACCCTGAGGAAATACTTCCCAGAAGATTCTGCCACGGTGATGCTGGTCTTTTGTTACTTAAGAGCTGATTTTTCAGCCCCAGCTAACCAGCATCAATTGTCCCAGGAAAGCAAAGGTCTCACTTCAGTGGTTCTGGTCTCTTCTCAGTCACTGCTGATTCTTCAGCCCAGCTGACCAGAACCCACAGATTCTCAATTCAAGACACAAACAGCCCTGATAGTCTCTGCTTCCCTTTCGAGTTTTACAAGCCAGGCCTCCATTGTCCACAACTCTTTCGGCATAACTGTTCCAAGCTCCACAGCAACAAACTCTAAGCACTCAATGGCTTTTCCAGCCCAAAGTTACAAATACTTCCACATTCTTCCAAAATCCCATATGGTCAGGTTCTTCACAGCCAACCGCCCCCTCTGACACCAATTACTGTATTAGCCACTTTTCTGTTGCTGTGATAGAGACACAGACCAAAGCAACTTATAGAAGGAAGAGTTTATTTGAGCTTACAGTTTCAAAGGGGCATGAGTCCTGCATGGCAGCAGAGGTGGCTGGAGGAGGAGTGGAAGCTAAGCTCTCACACCTTCAGGCAGGCACAGGAAGCAAGAGAGTGACTCAAGATCTGGCAAGGCTTAAGAACTCTCTAAGCCTGCCCCCAGTGATGTGCTTCCTACAGCATCTAAGACCTTCCAAAACAGTGCCACCAACTGGGGACAAAATGTTCAAATACTTGGAGCTTATGGGGGACATTCTCATTCAAACCACCACACATGAATCATTGTTAGAGTGCTTTCCTACCATGTTCAAGGCCCTGGGTTCAATCTTTAGTACTGGAGAGAGAGAAAAAAATGAAGTCACAGAACCAGAGACATTACCCAGACCTTACAGGACATCTAACACCACCCACACCTACTTTATTAGGAAGGAGGGATGAGTTGACTGCCAAAGGCCTTACATGTGCTTGGTGTTGTGCTCAATGTCAGGATGTGAGTGGGCTACAGAGATACCCTGGACTTTCAAATCTACCTTTGGTGGAAACTTTGTGGCACTTGGTTCCATCGAATGACCTTAATCCCTTAAGGTTACTCCAAACCTGAGGCAGCCAGTGGCCACTGACCACTTAAATATCTACCCCCTTCTCCAAGCAATTTTTCTTCACCCAGGAATCCAACTCATTTGGGTTGTACAAGACTCCATTCTCTGAAGCGTTTTTGGCAAAAGGGCTATCTGACTTTTTGTCCTGACGCTGTGACAAAAGCAGCTTAAGGAAGGTTTATGATTCTGGTTTATGTTGGATTCAGTCCATCATGGTGGGGAAGTCAAGGTAGTAGGAGCTTGAAGTAGCTGGTCACATGACATTCACAATCAGGAAGCAGAGAGTGATGGATGCTGCTGCTCAGCTCCCTTCTCCACTCACACAGTCCAGGATCCCAGCCAGGGAATTGTGCCCCCACAGTGGCTGGGGCTTCCCACCTCAGTTAACACAATCAAGATAATCCTCCACAGGCATGCCCAGAGGTCTGTCACCCAGATAATTCCAGATGTTTCCCAGTTGACAATGAACACTATCCTTCATAGCAGCCATATATAGAACCTACATTCCTCCCCAAAGTAGGTAGGAAAGAGTGTCCTTGAGCCAGGGTCTTTGTGGCACAGGAAGACACACATCTGTGGAGAGCTGGTCTTATGCAGTTCTGTTGCCTTTTGCTATGGAGTCACACTGGTTCATGGTTTCCCCTTTAGGTTTCGAATGAGGCAGGTGAACATCGTAGGTCCTAGCCCCTTTAGCCAGTCATCCCGGGTCATCCAAACCCTGCAGGCCCCACCTGATGTGGCTCCAACCAGTATCACAGTCCGGACAGCCAGTGAGACCAGCCTACGGCTTCGCTGGGTGGTAAGTGAGGTTGTGGGGATGGAAGCCCTCAGTCATGCTTGCCTGAGAATCATAGCTTAGCCATACCATACCCAAAATTCATCCTGTCATTAAACCACAATGTATTACATTATGTAATTAGTGTAAGACCTTAGAGGAGCCTGGAATTTCTTATTAATTGGTAGCATCACTTGCTGTCTTCTTGGAACTGGGGTGCTCTTAGATGAAAAGAACATAGATAGACCTAGGTGCAGGATATATAATCCCCTAAGCTTGGTCAACATAGAGCTCATACTCAGTATCTGAAAGAGAGCCAGCCCAGTGTTTAATCAGAACATTTCCCCTACGAAATTAAGCCAAAATATATGAAAGGAAATTATGTCCAGCCAAAGTTACTAAAAGAATTTTTGTTGAATTAACAGAATATAAGTTTCAGGGAAAATAGAATAAAGTTCCAAGGATGGGGCTGGGGAGATGGCTCAGTCAGTAAAATACTAGCTGCACAAGCATGAAGACTGAGTTCAGATCCCCGACACATACATAAAAAGCCAGACATGAGGGCACACACCTGTAATCCCTGCATTGAGGAGATGGAGATAGGAGGACACCCAATGCTCACTGGCCAGCTAGTCTTATCAAATCATTTAGCTCCAGGTTCAGTGAGAGACCCTGCCTCAAAAAAATAAAGAATGATAGAGGAAAACACCCAGCATTGATCTCTGGCCTCCATACTCTGTACATGTGTACACACACCCACATGCATGCATGTAAATATGAGCACCCATGCACACAGACAGAAAGCCCCAAGGATATTCTCCTAAGAAAATGATTTCCATGGAGTTGACCCCGTAAGACATGCTCATCCTTTCAGAACTTGCCAGGTAACTGTTGTAAGGTTTCTACTCACTCCAACCTGTCATTCATTGCCAGCCCCTGCCGGATTCCCAGTACAATGGGAACCCCGAGTCCGTGGGCTACAGGGTGAAGTACTGGCGCTCAGACCTCCCATCCTTGGCACTAGCCCAAGTTGTCAACGACCGGCTGGAGAGGGAGGTGACCATTGAAGAACTGGAGGAGTGGACAGAGTACGAGCTGAGGATGCAGGCCTTCAACGCCATCGGGGCCGGGCCCTGGAGCGAGCTGGTGCGGGGCAGGACACGGGAATCAGGTGAGAGGGAGGCCATGCAGGTCTGGAGTGCTCTCCTCTCTGTGTCTCAGTAGAGATGGGCCTTGGTGACCACAAGAATAACGGGTAATGTCTCACCTCTGTCTGAGTTGGTTTCCAACTCAAGGCTTAGACCACCTTTGATGGGAGTTTAGGCAAACCTTGGTTCAGACTCCTAGTTTCTTTTCCTGTTGCTGTGATAACATACCCTGACAAATCATCTTAACAGAGGAAGGATTTATTCTGCCTCACAGTTTAAGGTGCAATCCATCATGGTTGGGATGTCAAGACAGCAGGACGGTGGGCAACTGGTCACATCACATCCATAGTCAGGAAGCAGAGAGGCACCCCATTCACCTGGTCCATATTAGTGAGGTCTAGCCATGAAAACAAACAGCTAGCTGCTCCTAGCCCTGTCTTTGACACAACACAGCCTGGGTCTGATGTTTGGGAGGGGCTGTTAATCCTACACTATGGCTTCTAAAAACAGCATTTGGGATTTTGTTTGGTTTGGGGTTTTGGTTTTGGTTTTATATTTTAAATCAAAGTTTTACTATGTAGCCCAGGCTGACTTCAAATTCCCTGTGTAGCCCAAACTGGTCTCAGACTCACTCTATAGGCCAGGCTGACCTCAAACTCATTGCAGTCCTCCTGCCTCAGTCTCCTGAGTGCTAGGATTTTATATATACATATATCACCGTGTCCACTTAAAAATTACATTTGCAATACTCTGATCTGTGTCTACAGACAGGGCCTGAGGAGATGGGAAAGGCTGATGCAGTGAACTAGCTCAGTGGTCCTGGTTGAGGGCCAAGACCTTTTCACTCCTCCCTCGGAAGTCCTGGTCTCCTTGCTTCCTGGTGTCAAAGACCATAACCTGTGCCCTTTCCTGAGTGAGAGTGAGGCAGACGACCCACACACACACACACAGGTCTCTTCCTTTAGCTGTCAGAGACCCAACTGTGATCCCTAAGCCCATAGGAGACTCATGTCCTTGAGTCTCCCAGGGGATACATCAGACACCCTTGAAGCTAGGGAGGGACATGAGGGGGAAAGATGGGGAAATGCCTTCCAAAGGCTGTGTCTGCCTGAAGTCCTAGAAAATGCCTCAGAACCTCCCAGCCTCTGTCACGTGCCAAGACACCACAGGAAGAAAGTCTCCCATGGCAAAGACAGATGTTTTTTCCAGTAAACTTAAGTTGTTAAGGTTTTAAGCATTGAATCCTCCTAGGAGATAAAGTCAGAACTTAGAGTGACATTGTGCTTTGTGCTTCTGTGTTTATGTGCTTATGTATGTGCATGTGTATGTGTGTGCGCACACGTGCGCATGTCTGCTTGTATGTGCACCCATGTGTATCTGCATGTTTATGTATGTGTACATGGGTGTGTGTGCATGTGTCCACTAATATATGCACTCATGTGCTTTCATGACCATGTGTCTGTGCATGTGTGTGCCTGCATGTTCACATGTGTGCATGGGTGTGTGCTCATGTGTGTCTTCATGTTCGACTGTTGTGTGTGTGTGTGTGTGTGTGTGTGTGTGTACAGACTAGAGGTCAATCTCAGGGGTCATTCATCAAATTCATCTTATTTTTGAGACGGCGTTGCTCACTGATCACTGGCCTGGAACTCATCAAACAGTCTAGGCTGGCTGACCAGGGAGCCCCAGGCATCTTCCTATCTCTACTTTGCCAGTACTGGGTTATAAGTGTGTACTACCACACCTAGGATTTTTTACGTGGATTCTGAGGATGAAATTTAGGTCCATGTGTTTGCAAGCAAGCCCTTTACCAACTGAGCCATTTCCCTGCCCTTCAGAGTGACTTTGATGGAAAATAATATAGGCAAATGAAGTGGAAGGTCAAGTGCATGTTCAGACCCTGAAGCACAGTGCTGGGACCGTCAGTGCGCACCGCCACACCAGCTTGGGAGAACAGTTTTCTGTTCTTATTTTGTTTTGTTTTAATTTTTGTTGAGACAAGGTCTCATTATATCTTGCTGATCTGGAAGGTGCTATGTAGCCCAGGCTGGCCTCAACCTTGCAGCAATTCTCCTGTGTCTGTCTCCTGAATGCTGGGATTACAGACATGAGCCACCACATGAGTTTGGAAGAACTCTTAAAACTGTAGCCAGTAGCTGAGTGTGGTGTCACAGACCTTTAATCTAGCACTCAGGAGGCAGAGTCAGGCAGATCTCTGTGAGATCAAGGCTAGCCTGGTCTACATAGTGAGTTCCAGGATAGCTGGGGCTATAAGAAGACCCTGTCTCAAAAACAAACAGTAGCCAGAAGACTCAGTGTGGTTGAGAAGCAGAAACACTGTATTTTCAGATGTATCTGTGTGTGTGTCTGTATGTGCAGGTACCCAAAGATGTCAGATCCCCAGAGTTACAGATAGTTGTAAGCCACTTGACATGGGTGCTAGGAACTGAACTCAGGTCCTTTGCAACAGCCGCTGGTACTCTTAACTGTTGAGCCATATATGAAGCCTCCAATTTTTTTTAAACAGGATCTCATGTAGCCCAGGGTAGCCTTGAACTTGCTATGTAGTCAAGGATGACCTTGAACTTCTGATATTCTAGCCTCCACCTCCTCAGTGCTAGAATTAGAGGTATTCACCCATTATGTTCAGTTTATGCAGGGCTGGAGATAGAATCCAGAACTTTGTGCATGCTGAACAAACACTCTATCAACTGAGCTATATCCAGAGCCCCAAGGAGCATTCTTATTGCACAGTATCTTTGTGAGCCCAGCAACCCACCAGTGAGTGCCCTCGTAGAGTTACCGTCAGGATGACCTGCATGCCTCTGAAGGGACCCGGGTCTAGAGAGGGGTTTACCAAAGAAACCCAGGGCTCTCTTCCAAGTGTAGCCTTCATTATATCATATTGACAAGAAAAGATGCAGATTCACCCAGCTGTGATCATATGGATTCTTTTTTTAAAAAATAAAATTGTTATTTGTATTTTATGTGCATGAGTGTATGCCTGCATGTATGTAAGTGCATCCATGTATGCAATGCCCGTAGAGGTTAGAAGAGGGCATTGGATTCCCCTAGAACTGGAGTTACTGACACCATGTGGCTACTGGGAACCAAACCTGGGTCTTCTGCAAGAGCAGCCAGTGCTCTTAAACCACTGAGCCATCTCTCCAAGCCCCTCCCATGATTCTTTATAAATTCATCTTCTACCTCCAAATCTTTGTGATGAAGAAGAGAACTGGAGGTATTTTAAGGGATAGGTATAAATCCATCAGCAGGCAGAAACAGAACTTGGGGTGGAAAACAAGAGAGCCATAGATACATTTTATTTTATTTCATTATTTTTTTAATATTTTATTTATTTTTTTATTTTATGTGTATGTGTGTATTGCCAGCATGTAGGTAAGTGCACCTGTGTTGTGCAATGCCCACAGAGGATAGAAGAGGCCGTCAGATCCCCTGGAACTGGAGTTATGGACAGTTGTTAGCTACCATGTGGGTAATAGGATTCAAATCCTGGTCTTCTGCAAGAACAACCAGTGTTCTTAACTACTGAGCCATCTCTCCAGCCCCTTATTTCATTATTTTATCGTTTATTTATTTAATTGGGGGGGGGTGCAGGGTTTCTCTGTATTCCTGGCTGTAACTTGCTATTGAGACCTCAATATCACAGAGATCCACCTGCCTCTGCCTCCTCAGTGCTGGTATTAAAGGTGTGCACCACCACACTTGGCTTGAAATTTTAAAATTATCAGTGGGTTCAAAAGAAAAACAGCAAAACCTCCAGGTGTCAAAGCAGTGAGAGCTATGCTGAATCTGAAGCTGTGGGTCTTCAATGGTCTGTGTGTATGTGTGTGTGTGTGTGTGTGTGTCCATATGTATATGTGCAGGTATGCATGTGTACATATGTGTGTGGAGATCAGAGTTTAGCCACAGGTTTCACCTTCAGGGACACCATACACCTCTTTTGAAACAGGGTCTCTCATTGGCCTGGAGCTCATCACTTAGGCAAGACTGGCCAGCCAGTAAGTCCCAGGGATCCTCTGTCTCAGCCTCCCAGAGCTGGGGTTACAAGTGCACACCACCACACCCAACTTTATTTTTGAACATGGGTACTGCAGATCAAACCCAGGGCCCCATGCTTGTAAGGCAAGCACTAGACTGTACTGACTGAGCCATCTCCCCAGCACTTCACTGGCCTTTTAGGACTCGGGACTTTATGTCCATGTAGGGGGCAGGAGGGATAGCCTTGAATTCATAGAATGTGGAAGGAGAACTTAAAGTTCTGCATATTGAAAAGGCTCTTCTCTGCCAGAGCACTATAGAGACAAAAAAGTAACAGATAATGATCTTGGAGGGGCTGAAAAAAATCCCTATCAACCTCTAGAACCTCTAGTTCTATACCCAGCTAAACTACCTTTTTTTTTTTTTTTACTCAGAAAAGATCAAAGCACATGCTCTATAAAAATGGAAGACTGAAGAAGCCAGGTGTAATGGTGCATGCCTTTAATCCCAGACTTGGGAGGCAGAGGCAAGTGGATCTCTGTGAGTTCAAGGCCAGCCTTGTCTACATAGTGAGTTCCAGGCCAGCTCAGGCTACAGGGAGACACTGTCTCAAAAAGACAAAAAAAAAAAAAAAAAAAGGTAGACTGGGGGGTTGGGGGAGGGGGGCCTGGAGAGATGGCTCAGTGGTTAAGAAGACTGGCTGCTCTTGCAGAAGACCCAGGGTCAAATCCCAGCACTCACATGGTAGCTAACAACTGCCAGTAACTCCAGTTCCAGGGGATCCAGCTCCTTCTTTTGGCCTCCATGGGCACTGCATGACATGAGTGTACTTTCATACATGCAGTCATAACACTCCTATACATAAAATAAAAATAAATTTAAAAATTTAAAAAAAGGAAGGGTCCAGGCATGGTGGCACATGCCTTTAAATCCTAGCACTTGGGAGGCAGAGGCAGGTGGATCTTTGTGAGTTTGAGGGAGACCCTGTCTCAAAAAGACCAAAAATAAAGGAGCCAGAAAC